TCCTATATGCACTGAAAAAGCCATAAGCTTTAAGCTCTTCTCTCTGATTTCTCACAATTCAACTCGCAAAAATGGCGTTTCATCACCAGCAGCAGCAGACCCCTCACGAAATGGCGTTCCACTCCTTCGCGGAGGACCAGCCGCCGCTCTCCGGAGCTCTGACGTGGCTCAACAACGCAGCTTTCCGCCAGCAGAACACCAGCTTCGGCGGCCTCCACGACGCGGGGAGAAACGACGACGTGGTCATATCGCCGTCCGGGAAGAGCAGCAGCTGCAGCGATCGGAACCGGAGGGAGATAAGCGGTTACGACGGCGGAGAAGAGGAGGAGGGGGAAGACGAGCTGGAGTGCGAGAGCGCGAGGTTCAAGGCCGACATCGTGGGACATCCTCTGTATGAGCAGCTTGTGTCGGCGCACGTGTCGTGCTTGAGGATCGCTACGCCGGTCGATCAGCTGCCAAGGATCGATGAGAAGCTCTTGCAATCGCAGCGCGTGGTCGACAACTACTCGGCGCTCCGAGCCAATGGGGATGTTGGAGTCATGGATGAGAAAGAACTTGATTTGTTCATGGTTAGCACTAATTAAATCTTAATTAATTTTTAATTCCATATTATTGAAAGTTTAAAACATTTTTAATTTCTGGATATTTTTAGAGTGTCGTGTAATTAGTTGAGGTGGCAGTGAAGAATCATGTTGCTTAATTCTCTAATTATTCCACTTTACAAGTGCTTTGGAGAATCTTAATCCTTTAATTAGTAGTTTGATTAGTGGCATGTCTTGGAATTAGAATTTGTTCTGCAAATCAATCTCTCCAATTTCTTTATAATTTCTACTATAATATTAAGTCTAAACATTTAGGTATGTATCCAGACAATCGAATCCTGGTGCGTAGTCTTGCTCGCCTAATCTGCTGACGCCTAGTTCTTCCTTTGCTGTTCTCTTTCTTCTGTAAATAAATTTAGGCTTTTTAGCCAAAATGTTCTTGAGATTTGCAAATCACATTACTTTGGTCTCTGAGATTGAAAATCAATAGAAATGGTCCTGAGATTATTCACCATCCATTATTTTGGTTATTCCGTTAAAAATTCCGTTAAGTGTTTAGGAGCTCTTGGCCCGAAGTTTAAGCAATTTTCAAAGTTTTGTAACTCAATCTCAGGAACCAAAATGATGTTTTATGCAAACCTCGGACCATTTTAGCTAAAAAGCCATAAATTTACGTACTTTATAAAAGTCACATTGTAATTTTGTAACAATCGAATCCTGGTGCGTAGTCTTGCTCGCCTAATCCGCTGACGCCTAGTTCTTCCTTTGCTGTTCTCTTTCTTCTATAAATAAATTTAGGCTTTTTAGCTAAAATGTTCTTGAGATTTGCAGAACACATAAATTTATGTACTTTATAAAAGTCACATTGTAATTTTGTAACAAAATGCTTTGGTTACGATGTTGGTTGAGGGTCTAGCATAACGAGATGTTCATAATTTTGTTAAACTTTCGGTTTTCGTCATCTGATCTTTGCTCGTTGTGATTTTGTAGACGAATTATGTTCTTTTGCTTTGCTCCTTCAAAGAACAACTGCAGCAGCATGTCCGAGTTCACGCAATGGAAGCAGTGATGGCTTGTTGGGAGCTTGATCAGTCTCTGCAAAGCTTAACAGGTAATTTTTGTTTCTTTAGTTTCGATCGTCCCATAAATCTTGATCCTTTCCTCCCCATTTCGCTGCCTTTATCCGAAAAGTAGGAGACAGGGAAAAAGGACAAGAACATGAATGTTACTTCCCATGTGCTAAACTGTTTTTGGTGTGTCCTAAATGTGAGCATCGTTTATATAAGGCTGCCTAATAGTTGTTCTTTTATTGCCCTTCCCCCGAAAAAACTATGTTTAACTCTACGTGTTTAGATATCTGCGAAAAGAGGGATTTTGCAATAGCGAAACCATCAAAACCATCGACATTGTTTCCATTGTTATCGTGAATCCTGAGGTTGAGTTTGAGGTTGATGTCAGTGTCGCGCTGTTAAAGACTTCATCGGTGTGAAGAGGAAAGACGAGGGCAGAAGTTGCACTGACTTAAGTTTTTTTTTTTTCGTTGAGTCTTTTAGCTTTGATTAGTGTCATCACTTTGGATTGCCTGTCTCTATAAATTCGGATATAGGATAAGACATCTTGTGTAGTGTCGTCAGTTGTTATTGCTCGTTTTTGGTTGCTGATCGTGATCAACATTTGTTTATGGATGGTTTACAGTTAAATATTTTAAGCTGCTTTCACAGGTGTATCCACGGGTGAAGGAACGGGTGCTACCATGTCCGATGATGATGACCAGTTAGATAGCGACATCAACTCCTATGATGGAAGTCTGGACGGGCCAGACACCATGGGATTTGGCCCTCTTGTTCCGACTGAAAGTGAGAGGTCCTTAATGGAGCGCGTAAGGCAGGAACTGAAGCATGAACTGGAACAGGTACAAACTATAGACTTACAGCGTATATATACATTTTCGGTGTGGACAATTAGTGTAGCTGATAACCTCTGCTTATTAGGGTTACAAGGAAAAGATCGTCGACATTAGAGAGGAAATTCTGCGCAAGAGAAGAGCGGGGAAACTGCCAGGTGACACAACTTCTGTCTTAAAATCTTGGTGGCAATCGCATTCCAAGTGGCCTTACCCGACAGTGAGTTTGAACTTTGTTATAATCCCCTTGAAGCTTTCAGTTTAGCAGATTCTTTTGTAATAGCTACTAATTAAGACGCTCTTTCGCTTCGATAGGAGGAAGACAAGGCCAGATTGGTGCAGGAAACAGGCTTGCAGTTGAAACAGATCAATAACTGGTTTATTAATCAAAGAAAAAGGAATTGGCACAGCAACATTTCATCGACTTCCGTTCTCAAGAGCAAACGCAAGAGGTAGGATTACGATTAACATAATATGGTTGTTTTTTCGAGTTAATTTGTTTCGTAAACTTCATATAAACTTGTCTCAATTTGTAATTTGGAAAAAAAAGTAATGCAGGTGACATGAACAACCAACGATTGAAGTAAATGTCATGATTTTAGTCGAAAATCTAGCAACAGAGAGCAAGGAATTTAATATTTCTCGTACAGTAAAAGCTTCAAGCCTTCAAATGGTATGCTGCCCATCTTTGGATCGATCGCTTCGAGTCTGAGGCACCCCGACACTATCCATGTCTTATAGTACCATAATATCATCAAACTCTAAGCATGTAACACGAAAAACTCGAACCAGGTAGCCTTAATGTACTACGTTTCAGTGGATCTATGTAGATTTTTTGTATACCGATCGCATATTAAATAAAACGCTTGCTTTCTATACATATTTTTATGAATGAGAATGTCTATGAAGAATGTGAATCTGTAATTTTAAGGCAAAAAATACAACTGAAAAAAGAATACAGATTGTTCTGTTTCTTACAGTGCAAGAAAACCTATCGAAAAAGGAAACAAGGCAGCACAGACGACACTGAATCCGACCTCTGGATTCTACGAAAGCTGATTCATCGGTCCTGCGAACCTCTCTGCCTAAGGAACCATCTTCATTGGTAAAAGGGTCAGCGAACCTGCTGAAGCCAAGAGCAGCATCGGCTTCTCTGCCAACACCTTCGTCGAAATTGAGAGCGTAACTATCAATGTCGTACGACGTTGCTTTCTTTTGCTTCTTGTTTCGGCACAACCTATTCTTAGCCTCTGTCAGCTTCTTCTTCCACCATGTTGTCTCCTTGAGCCGGCCTCCGCCTTCTTGCTGCACCAAGTGTTGGCGTTCGTGACCATTGTTGTTGCGTGATCCAGAAGTCCTAAAACAACCACGAAAACCGCAAGAAGACGTAGGAGAAGTAGAAACATCCATATCTGTTTTGTGTTCGCGAAGTGAACCGTGGTTTGACATGAGCACGGTTGGTCTAGAGAGCGAGAGAATCTGTGTTGAGAGACTTGGAGCAGAAGGGTGTTAATTTATAGGGGAGGGGAAGGGAAGGGAAAGGGATACAAGAGAAAAAGGAAACAGGAAATATGTATACACACACACACACATATATATATATATGGAAAGAAAGAGTTGATCAATACTTAACATTTATAGATTTTCGAGGAAAGATTTGATAGGGTGGTGTAGATTTGTGGAAACAAAACAGGGAATTCCTAATGCAAATCTTAGAGGGATTTCAAAATGCCAGGAACACAGAACTAAACACTACATCTCATTATACAATTGGAATGACACTTGAAAAAAACTTTCTCCAATAATATAATGACGTGTGATATTCTGTCCTGTGTTCCGAACATATTGAAAAATCTCTCCAAATCTTCAACATTCCCCGCCACAGTTGATATGCTCACCAACGCGGTGCCTTAAACATTCCCCGCCACAACCCACACGCCCTAAGAGACGACGACTTGCTATTGGTCAAAACAAAAGAAACGAAGACAGACCCCAAACATGTGGAGTGCCACCGTGGTATTTTGGATCGATAATGTAATATTATGGCATTTTAATTTGTTCTACATCGTTTTATTATTTTGGAATGTCATGGTGGCGTAAACAATTGCAGGGAAGTATCTGTATCCCCCATAAGAAGTAAACAATATTGACAAAATGTCATGTTAAAAATAACTACACATAATATGCGATTGGAGGAGTTCTTCTGTCTGGACCATGTGGTTGACCGGCCAAATACTCATAAGATGGGACGAGAAGGGGATGAGTAGGCCCAAAATACAAAAGGAGTGGACCTATATTCTCATGTAATTGACTTAAAATATCGTTACAGTGACATTTCTGTTGTAGGTAAGTTTTTCCCAAAATTTTGTAATCGAAACCAAAACGTTTCTATTAAGCTTTGGCGTGGTAGTATTTTAGATGTTACTGACAATCTAAGTGATCTTAATGTCCAATTCTGAAGTTCAATTTAGAGTCTTCATTAGACAATTATACTTTATGGATCTCATTTTTCAGTGCAACTGCAAATAGCCAAGTAACTTCCCAACACTTTAACAAGGTTTAATCTTTGTTTCGATTACGACTCGGGCCAATCGAACATGTTCCATTTAACCCTAATATGTTACCAGTGTACAAAGTGACGAAACAACAACAAAGCCTTATCCCGACAAAGATTAAGCTTCGATACAATCCAATGATAAGTGCTTGTACTGAAGTTGGTTCAAAGGTAAAACCTATATGAGTTGAGACTTTTATAAGACCAATATGTTTCTATAAAACAATAAAACAACTTCCCCATCACTATAAAGCAAAGCAAATATTAAGTTTATCTTCCAAGGGCTCGAAACACAAAGGTACCGGTGCCGACGCCGGCGAGACATCGACGATGAAGCAACTTCTAAGATCATTTTCGAGCCTGAGACTATGTTGCCGAGGGTTGCTGCGGTTGGGTCTGTCCTTTAGGAGGAACCTTTGCTGCCATGGAGCGTAATCCGTTCGCAATTTCAGTGAAACTCAGCCTCTCGGACGGCTCTGATGACCAGCATCTCTCCATCAGTGACTTCCATTCAGGATCGCAAGAGTCCGGTATTGGTGGCCGCAATGTGTTGCTCACAATACCACCTGCATTAACATATGAACAGCGGGATATCAGCATCTCCGAATCTGAGTAAAACCTCAAGGCGCCGAGCATTGTTAACAAGTGCGAAGTTGTATTGAGCAGTAGAAGATACCTATGATAGCACCATAGTGCAAATCCGCATATGGTTCGTCTCCAGTGAGCAGCTCCCACAACATGATACCGAAAGAAAACACATCGACCTATTGTATGCAACAAAAGAGGAGGGTAAAGAGCTAAGGATTAAAAACAGGTCTAAGAAGCGAGTCGCAATCATTTGAGACGATTTAGAATAAATTAAATAAGAAAGCACAAACCTTCTCAGAAACAAGGCTACTGCTACCATTCAACAGCTCCGGTGCCATCCATGGAAGTGTTCCCCGCACACCACCGGAGATCAGCGTTTGACATTTCACCTTAGATAGGCCCAAATCACCGACCTGGCATCAGAAAGAAACCAGTGAACACAATATTCTAAACACGTAAACGAATTACAGTATGTTACATAAGAAGCATCTTATAAAGCATGTCAATGAAAAATATGCGTTTTTGAATAAAGATGCTGCATTTTAAACAAGTATGTGGCTTATATAAGAAACGAAAGATCAAATCTACCACAAAACGAACCAGAATATGCGAATGCAAGGAGCAAAATAAAGTCACTACCTTGCATATTGGGCGGTGTGGATCTCGAAGATTGACAAGTAAGTTGTCACTTTTCAAATCAAAGTGTACTATCTTCTTTTCATGCAGGTACTCCATTCCGAATGCCACATCCATTGCAATCATGAGGCGCTTGCGCCTGTCCAAACTCCTGATAAAATTAAATCTGTGTCAGATTTTTATCCCAATTGAAAATTACGGACAACAAAATGCCAAGCAAATACATTACTTCTCATTTTTCTGCAAGGCATTTCTCAGAGAGCCGTTAACCATATATTCTGTCACTGTTGCCACAGAACCTCCGGGTCCGTCAAGCACAATCCCATAGAAAGCTACCACATTGGGGTGGTGCAAGTCAGCAAGCTTGATAGCCTCATTCCAGAAATCATCTCTCTGTTTGAATACATAAACCACAACATACGAATTAAGTAAAAGAGTTATGAATGAATGAAAGCTAAAAGTTTTAGAAACTAGTGTAACAAAAAGACAAACCATGCGCTCTTGTTCTGAAGGCTTCCCGGAAAAACACCTATCATTGATTCTTTTGATTGCAACATCAGTGCCCCTCCATTTTCCATGATAAACGGTACCAAAAGTTCCAGAACCTAATTCTCTCATCTCTTCAAGGTCACTGTTCTTTATAATCTGCCAAAAGAAAAAGAAATCGGTCAATGGTACATGGTAATATCACAACATCACAATACATACATATTAATGGAAACCAAATTTTCACCTGCAACCGGCCTAGGCCATCTGCTACTGGAAAACCAAGATTTGGCTTATCTGCAAAGTTGGATTTGACATCCTAAAATAGGAAGCGGAAGTTAGAAGATAAACAACAGGAGAGCCTAGAATATTTTTTCAGAGAGGGAGAGAACACGTACAAATAAAAAAAAAAGGTCGTACCCAGTGCACAAGGCTCCCGCTTTACGCAGGGTCTGGGAGAGGTGAATGTCGGCTAGCCTTACCCCCATTTATGGAGAGGCTGCTCCCAAGTCTCAAACCCGAGACCTACTGCTCATGGGCGAAGGCACTTGCCATCGCACCAAGTGCGACCTCTTAGAGACACGTACAAATAATAAAAAAAATTCACACATGTACATATATGAATTCTTAAATACCTCACTTTCTGTTCTGTTTTGCATCCCTGCAGCATTGTTTTGAACCTCTTCATTTCGATTGGTTGCATAAGCAGACTCATTTTTATCATGCAAGTAAGAATCTGATGGCGTAGATGACTGAAAAACACAAGCAGCTACTCCCTCAGCAACAGCTTGAAGTTCTTGCTTTATTTGTTCTTCTGCTGATCCTACGACAAAGAAGCAAAATAATAAGAAAAGTTCATATGAAATAATTAACTTATCTAGAAAGATCATCACTTAACTAACCTTTGGACGACGGGGCATGCTCTGAACTAAGATCCCTGTTCAAATTGCCTGGTGGCTGTTGGCCTCCATCGTCCATTCGCATTTCTGTATATGGTTCTTTTCTCAATTGTATTTTGGTTGGCTTAGGAGGCAATTGAGTATCCTGGCACAAACTCCAAGGATCTTGATTGCTGAACAGTGAGTTTGAGGAGTCCTGGGCACCAAAACCATTCGAGGTAATACCTTCCCTCTCGTTAGATACCATCTTGGGCTGCAATCTCATATTCTCATCCTTCCATTCAGGAGGAGGTTGAATTCCATCAGTGAGATGGGTCAAAACAACAGGGGTTCCATAATTAGATTCGTAAGAATCACAAGGATATATTCCAACTCTTGATTGCAGATAAGCTTCAGGATTTCCCCATATAGATTGTTTTCCTAAATCATAGAATTCTGCTGGCTGTGAACTATACCCATGTGAGACTTCGGCAGAGGGAGAAGCTAGTACTTCGGTCGGGTTAAAGTGATTCCTGCCTAATTTGTCAACGAGGTTATCCACAGCCACCTCTCTACCCCCAACTTGTGCTGTTTTGTGATCAACGTTGTCTTCCATTCTAGGTATATCCCAAGGTGATTTACCATGCTCCTTGTTAACATAAATCTCAGTGGGATTTATCCTGAGTGTTTCCATCCTCCCGTCGATTTGTCTCAAATTATCATATGCAGTTGGAGATTCACGAACCAGGCATTCTGAAGTTTCAACAGGTGCACCTCCAACAAGAGGTACATCTTGATTAAAAGGATCGTTACCTAAATTTTCCTGTTTAACCTGGTAATGAAATGGTGTTGGATGTAGTTGAACAACATCGTCTTGACAATGCTTAGGAATACTGACCATGAATGCACCATCTGGTGATTGCACATCACCTCCTCTCTGGATAACGCCCTGTGGAGATGAAATCTGAGAGAGGCAAGTCACATCTGAATGAGATGTTACGAGAAGAGGATCTACTGGAATTTGAACCCTAGGGCGAGCCTCAACTCCTTGGCCAAAATTACCTTCTCCCTTGTTCATCGGCTGAGCTCGCAAATTCTCCTCCAGCCGAGGACTATAATAAGTTGGACTTGAATCAGATACCGGGCTTCCGCCAATGTCTCTCTGAACCTGTACCACAGTATCAGAATGTGCATGAGGCAATGCTATCTGACACATATAACAGTCCTGGAACTTTGTGGACTTCTCGGGATACACTTCCTGTTGGTGAGATACCAATGCATCATGGTAAATCACATGCTCTGGTGATTGAACTTGATGCCATCCATAAGCACCTCCTGCTGTTGTTGAGGGTACTTGAACCTGATAGGAATTATAGCTTTGTTCAGCAGGAAGCTGGACGACCTTGGGAACAAAGGTACTCTCGCCTACATACTTATCCAACCGGGTCTGTTGTGGATGGATCAATGGCTGAAGCACACTTGGTCTTATATTAACATGAGAAGTCGAGGGAGTCATTGTCATGTGCACTGCAGGAATGAAGTGATGCGGGGTGATGCCAGCAATACTATCACCGTATTGCTGTTTGGTGAATACAGGACCAGCAGTCCCCAATAGGTGAGGACTTGGGAAACCCATCTGAGGAGGAAGCTGGAGATGGTCTGCCCGTGTAACAAAATCTTGGCGAGGACCAACATAAGTTTGCAGATAAGGAGCAGTAGATGAAATGCCAATTCCAGGTTGCTGCTGTGATACTGTAACAGGCACAGATCTTTCTAATTCACCTTCCGGATGAGAAGATGGTGTTTGGGGAGGCCCAGACTTAACCACAGGAATGACCAATGGAATTGTAGAAACTTCAGAATAAATTGTAGGCTTAGGATCCACAAATACCAGCCTTGTACTAGCATCATGAGAAGTAGATGAATCCCTTTTCGGTGATAACTTGCCCGGTGATGGAAGTCCAGTATTGTCCCCCTGACCAGGAACTGAGTTATCAACAACATCAGTTCCACTAAAATCAGAATTTTGAGTTGAAGTTGCACTTGCATTGCTCTCCTTCCTCACGATACCAACACTCACCCCATCCATAATCCCATTGACAGCATCAACATATCTCTGCTCACTATTATGTAAATCCCCAATTTGTACGACACCAGATGGATCAACTTCAGAAGCAGAAAACAAAAATACCCTCAACTTTGCTGAACCATCTGGAGATCTCTCGACCAACTTCCCATATTCATCCTTCATATTGTCAAGATCATCAGCACATGAAACCGACACCAGTGCATCGAGATCCTCATCGGGGAGCTGGTATTTAATGACCACAGGTTGCCCATATGTATCCACCATCTTCTGCACTAGCTCATTGAAGCTCACATCTCTCCGAACACTAATCCTTGTCTGCCCTCCAACATACCTCAACATTCCATCACTTGGTCTGGGCAAAATCTTTCCGCCAAAGCTGCACAGAAGCTTTATTTTCTTCCCATACACAGAATCTTCCCCACCGTCATCACTTGCTTGTTCAGTCCCACTCCCACGACTGCCCAAATTGGCATTGTAACCATATCCCGATGTCAAATCATTCCCAGTCTGATCAGCAACATTGCCACTGACCTTATTGCCTAAATTGGGATTATAACCGAACCCAGCTGCCATATCATTAACTCCATGATCTAGACCACTGCCAGCACTCCTATTAAACATATTCGAACTACAGTCAGAAGGCCTAGAAGCAGTTGTTGTAGTATCAGAGCTTACAAGATCAACATCATTTCCGCCGACCCGACTGCCCAAATTAGGACTGTAACCAATTCCAACACCAACGCCAGGGTTCACACCTGGATGTCCCACCGGCACAGCAATGCGGGGGCCAGGGCACCACGGGGGCACCCCCGACACGGCATTTCCATACCCTAGGCCAACATGCCCAGCCTCCGAGGCAACCGGTGCTTGGTAAAAAACAGGTATTGAATGAGGGCTATTAACTTCACGAACTGGGTGGCTGGGGAAAAATCCATCGGGGTTTCGAGCAGCTGTAGTAGCCTGCGCAATGCGGGGTTCTTCGGCCACAGTTCGAGCTACATTTAACTGTCTCAGTTCTTTGGGAAACGAATTTTGATCAAACGCCATATCTACAATTAATTAAAAAAAAATTCAAAATTCAATCAAGGGTCTGCAAAATCAATCCTAAATAAGAAAACCCACGATCAAAATTCGATAAAGCTAAAATCTTTTCATCTAGATTGCGATAAGCTAAGGTCTTTTCATCTGGGATTTTCATTTTGTTAATTCTAATTTAAGTACTGAAGCTTTTCTAATCATCTGCTATAAACCCTAGCCAGATTGCACCAAACTATAACAAAATTTTACAGCTTTATATCCAAAACAGGGGACAATAAACACAAATAATTGAACAAAAACACACACACAGAGAGAGAGATTAAGTACCAGATTGAAACGTTGGCGTTTGGAGGAGAGAGAGAGTGTGTGGAAGAGATAAGATGGAGGAGAAGAAAAAACACAGAGAGAGAGAGAGTCCGAGTCGGTGGAGTGCAGTTTCCAAACTCCGAAGGAATCAAAGCTCACAGTGACAAGCGTCCCCTTAGCAGCTCCTTGGCACTTTCTCGCTCTAAAAATCTGGTCCTTTTATTGTTCCATCCATCGTTGAATATTTTCCGTGGTGGGATTTTATTTTCTCGGGAAAATGATGTGTTTGTGAGGAAAATGGCAGAGTGGCTGAAGAGAAAAATTATGGTTTTTGGTTTGAAGTCTTGGAGAAGAGAGAAGAGAGAAGGTGACGGGGGAAGCCACGTGGAATGTTTCATGCAAGATTATGATTTATCAGTAAAAAAGTGTAGTATTATGTGTTGTTGTTGGGAACCTAGGAGTACTTTATTTTTGATAGTGACATATGCAAATAATATATAAACATATATATATATATATATATTTTTTTTTTGAATTTAATGGCCTTATCGATGATTCTTTAATATGTCGAAAATATAATCTGGTATATTAAGTATTATGATACAAATAATTAAATATTTAAAAATATTTTAACTATTAATATAATGAGACTTGATATACCAAATTATATATTTAGTGGGCTTAAAAATTTATCGACATTGTGGCAAGGTAGGAGAAGACAAATACAAAACGAAAATCTTGGACGGTCCTTCAAATACTACATTAAATTATACTATGCATACAACATATTATTTAATTAATAATTTATGATAGAATTGTTGGTAGTAATTTCGTATCTACTTATGGTTACTTATTTTAACTGCAATCATGCCATTTTAATCACAACTTAATTGAAGCCTTAACTTCTTATTTTTGTTCGTGATCAATCTTTAATTACTTTGATCGCATGATCATGGTCAATATAAATCATGATTGTTTTACTAATTAGGGTTTCAATCGTTCAATTTTATTTAATTTTTTGTTAATACAAAAAGTAATGAATATTAAACACATGCCATTAGAAAATTAAAAAAAGATAAACATAAGTTATGAGTTTATGTTATAGCATTACCACTGTTTTAAAAATTCTGCCTAGTGCTATCAAGGTCATGTCTAGGCTCTGAACGACAAGCGACCACTTTGATGATTCATAGACGATTGAAAATTATGAAAAAACGCCTAGACTTGTTTAAGTAACTATTCATACTTAAGAGTAAATTATTAAAAGAAAAAATGTATGTCTACATTCGACGATAGAACTTACTGTAATTCTTATGAACTAAAGTATTTACAGTAAGAAATAATTAAGTTAATGCATGCCATAGATTGTTGTATACTATAACTTACCGTAACTTTTTATTTATCCCGAAATTGCTAACTTCTTTCCTGGTCTGAATAGGGTAACTTCACAATAATTGGATAATTCTTGGTCCACTATATTTTTCTGGATTCATATCGACCGTTTGAAGGACATTTTCGACTTTCATCGAATCGGTGGGTGATGACACATCATCAAAACTGGAATTGCGATCCTCTGAATTTCTGTGTTCGAGATTATATATTCTGAGAAATAAAACTATAAGAAATTTTATTTGAACTTATATAATCTCTTTCAAACTTTAAATATGAATTGTCTTTCTTACTCTATTGCATAATTACCGTCAGGTACAAGATTAAATGAACAATAAAACCAAAATTTATCAATAGACCCATATATACCCAATCATCAATCTACTTCTTGGTACCATCTGGGAATGTGTCGCGCCTTCATCGCACTAGCTCGATGTTACTTATGAGCTTTTATATGCTTATGTTATTGTTTATGGATTCGAAGCAACCAAGGATTCTTCAAACTTCAGAACACATGAATGAAATGCTGATTCAACGGACCATGTGAAACTTTTGGATTTTGTACTAAATATTGGAGGGATTGGCTGATCCAATTTTGATCATTTGCAAAAAAACGCATACTGATTGAACAAAAAATAAAATAAAAACATATGGGATTTAAATATTTAATTTTTTTTAATCATCTATATGGGATTAAGCAAAATCAACAGATGAGATTAATTAAAACAGATATGGGATTGAGCAAAATCAGCAAATAGAAGGATTACGCATGAGACAAATATGTGGGAGATATTGTTGTCTTTATGCCTTGAATGAGTTTCAAAACACGATTTTGGTTTTTTATTTTTTATATGGGTGTAAAGATAAATTTATGTATCAAATTGTGTTTGTGAGGGTAATTTAGATAGTAAGTTTGGGTTTAAAGATATATTAATAATTTAGTTAAAAATAATATGGGTGGAGGGAGTAAGTTGAATGTAAAAAAATGTTGTATGGATTCAAATAAAATTTCTAAAACTATTCATTTTAAACTCTTATTATCACACTAACTCACTGCACACAAATAAAGCATCTGAATCTCTCATACTAACAATCCAAATCCCTTAATTCTTGGCTTTCTAACACCAGAGATTCCGATAGATTTTCAATTCTCAAAACTGGGAGGATATGAGATATATTTTCCTTGTTTTTTATAATTTTTTAAAGGTATAAAAAGTTCAACATCAAAGAGGAATAAATCTTAATTTATAAGAAAAGGTGTGACATCCGACATCGCCCAGGGGAGTTGATCATGTACCTTATATGTATATTCCCATCTCTACCTAGCACGAGGCCTTTTGGGAGCTCACTGGCTTCGGGTTCCATCAGAACTCCGAAGTTAAGCAAGTTCGCACGAGAACAATTCTACGATGGGTGACCCACTGGGAAGTTGTCATCTGAGATCCTAGAAACAAAAACCGTGAGGGCGTAGTTGGAGCCAAAAGCGGATAATATCGTGCTACGATGTGGAACGGGTCTGGGATGTGGTGGACCTCGGGCCGGGATGTGACAAAAGGAAAGAGAAAATAATATGGAAACTAACATCAGCTAGTCTTTTACTTGTTTGGATGAGGTTGGCCCAAATTCTTTGCTTGATATTAAAACAAAAAGTAAATTAAACTTCCATACGCGGTTTCATTATTCTTTTTAAGATTGACTAAAATTCAAGAAAGAAACATATATTTTGGGTAAAGAATGAATGTTAAAAAAGTTAAGCATTTTGAGTTACGACTTTGTGTCTCACAAATCACAAACATGTTCACCATTGAGTGTTATGTGGTTTGATTGGAAGGAAGGCAATTTCTATGAAATTGAAGAAACTTGCACCAAACAGGTTTCGAGAATTAATCCTAATTTTAACACGCAGAGAACTAACCTTATTTCAATAGATAAGGAATCCAAGTTCTTCTGCTAAACTTTAAGGCATAAAATACTAAATATAACCTTACATATTAAAAAAAAAACCAAATTAACTTTTCCAAAAACATGAGCACGATGTAGCAATATTCCAAACCTATCAAGCGGCAGTATGTGTTGGTAACTTTTCGCGTAAAGTAGCTTTATTATTCTGGACCTTGACATTTTTCATCTAAGTATTTACCACCGAAAGGCTCAGCACCAAATTAACGATATTAGTCAAACAAATTCGTGTCGGTATTATAAAAGTACACTAACTAACCAATCGATATTACATCATGCTTATGTGATTCTGGTATCTATGGCGCACTGAAAGTCAGGTAAAAGAAAGAGATCTGTATAGTACTTGGCTCGATCGTCTTTAGCAAGTAGATAATCCTACCCCTGTTAAGTTGTCGTTCCTCCAATAAGCAACAAGGACGTGAAACCCTACATTTTTTACTATATGTATCCTTCCATGTTTGAAACACCCTAATCATTTTGCTATAGATAATAGAGGTGTGACAACGATAAGCATCCCAGTACGTAGTGAAGAAAATGAGTTTCAGAATCTGTCGTGTTTGCATGGGCTAATTGGTCCTGGTCGGCCATGCTTTGTCGGTTTTATGCAGATTGATTCTTGTCATTCATGTTTATAAAGACGGATAATTGAACACGACTAACTCTAACAATTCTCGAGAAAATAATTGATTAATTGTGGGATTGTGTGAGATGGAAAGTAGACCTCAACTTGCATTGTTTTATTTATAACATGTGCCCGCGCGCGCGCAATATGCCCTATTGGCTGCAGCGTAGAGATAAATTTATAGTCCCAAACAGTTAGGACAGTAGTAGGCCAATAGAGGATAAAGAAGTGGTGAATAAACAACTGGCACCACATGGATGGAGACAGTATAGTTCCCTTGTGGGAGAAATCAGAACATAATTAGCAAACTAATCGGTAGTGTAAACAGTAATTCAGCTAGCATAGATTTCTCCTGATCTGTACATTTGACCAATCCTAGGCTCCTAGCTATCTAGTAAATCTCATGTTGATGAATCCGATGATGTTCAATATTACAACAAACGTAGAAGAAGGATCAACAAAGTGCAAGTGCATTTAATTAACTAATTGCTATTTATATGTTTAATGAGAAATGTTAAGGAGACTCTCAAAAGTAAAACTATTTGTTAACTCTATGTCATCTCATGTTTTTGATACAATGTTTTATAATATTGACACGGAAATTGACGTTAATTAAATTGTCAACTGTGAGATGACAGAGATTTCATCAAGAATTAATCTCACTTTGAGAGAAAATCTCCTGAGCATTTTTCATGTTTAATTACTAGGTTAGGAATATTTAGGAAGGTCATGATCTAATGAACAGTTGAATATCAGAGTGCGGAACAAACAAGAAGAACAAAATAATAAGAATTTTATTAAACTAACTGAATGCCGAAACGGCTACAAAAACCCTAACAAGCTACATTGTGAATAACTTATTTCGAATGAATAACAAATCACTCTATTTATAATAAACTAACCATAAACCCTAATGCTAACGGGCTAAGCCCAGAAAACAAAATATTAAAGTAAACCTAAATACTAATATTCTACAACACCCCCCGTCAAACTCATGGCGGTATACGACATGGGTTTGCAAACAAGCAGATGCGGACTGGCTCTGTTAGGCGGACAGACAGACAGGCAGGCTCTGCCGCAACGCGGACAGACAGACAGGCAGGCTCCGCAACGCGGACAGACAGACAGGCAGGCTCCGCAGCAACGCGGACAAACAGACAGGCAGGCTCCGCAACGCGGACAGACAGACAGGCAGGCTCCGCAACACGGACAGACAGACAGGCAGGCTCCGCAACACGGACAGACAGACAGGCAGGTATGCAAACTTGACTTGACTTGACTTGCGAACTGGTGAACTTGCGAACTTGACTTGACTTGATTCTTGACTTGACTTGACTGGCAAACTGGCTAGAGTTGAGAGTATGGAAAGAACCCGTCACTAAACGGACGAGGTTTCCATATCTCAATTATACCAACAAACAACGAAAACAATTCCAAACAAGGCAACCAACAATTCTTGCGGGCCTAAAACAAACTTAAACCATATTTTTGACTTTTGCCCGTGTGGGCCTAAAAAAAAAACTCCAAACAATTTTTTTCTCTTCTCTTTTTTTTTTTTTTTTTTTCCTCTCCTTTTTTTCTCTCTTCTTCTTTTTTCTTTCCTTTTTCTCTTTTCTGCTGGGCTTCTTCAGAACTGCAGCAACATGTTTCTTGGTCTTGTGCGGCGGTGAGTTCATAAGGCAGTGCAACAAGGATGTGATGAGCAGCGGCAACCTGGGTGGATGGTGATTGGGTGCGCGGGACGACGGCAAGGGATCTGGGTGCAGGTGCAAGCAGGTTGTTCCGGTGGCAGCGTGGTGGTGATCTGATGAAGAAACGATGGCTGGCAGGTACGGTTCAGGCAGATGCGAGTGCAGGCTGGTGGTCTGGTGCGAGATGGTGGTGCGGTGGTTTAAGCAGGCGAGGTGCAGGGTTCATGTCACAGGGAACTGGACGCAGTGGAAGGTTCAGGTTTTTTGTTTTCTTATGCAAACTAAACCAACAACAAAAAACTAGCATACAAACTGACAAATAACATACCAACCCGACCAAGCAGATTAAATCCCAAAGGATTGAACCTGCTCTGATACCAAGTTGAATATCAGAGTGCGGAACAAACAAGAAGAACAAAATAATAAGAATTTTATTAAACTAACTGAATGCCGAAACGGCTACAAAAACCCTAACAAGCTACATTGTGAATAACTTATTTCGAATGAATAACAAAGCACTCTATTTATAATAAATTAACCATAAACCCTAATGCTAACGGGCTAAGCCCAGAAAACCAAATATTAAAGTAAACCTAAATACTAATATTTTCCAACATGAACTGCCACATATTTGGCCGGGACAAAATCGAAGTAGCTAGCTCTTTCGTTGTTTGACATCATCTACCTCAGGGTGCTTGCTTCTTGTTTTGCAGCAGCAGGAATTGCTTAATTATTCGCTGTCAAAGTATCACGAGTTCTTGCAGATGTGAGAGAGTAGCAACATTAACAAGAACGGATGTGCTCTCCTATGTTGTTATGCACTTAAGTTAAATATATTTTTCCTCACAATTAATAAAATATCAGTCGTATAAAACCATTGCTTTATTTCTTTACAAGGTTTTTAACCATCCTGGAAAGGCCACCTTTTTTTTTTTTTTATAATTATTATTTATTTTAAATACAAGACAATTTAGAGTATGGGCATTAGCCATTTAACATTTTTAGACCCGCCATATGCCATTTAATAATTTAGAGTATGGGAATTAGCCATTTAAACTACTCATGTGCCCCCTCTCCTTCATTGGATTGTAGTATGGGCATCGTCATCTTCATTCACTACTTACGCCCCCTCGTAGTATGGTCGTCTTCTTCATTTACTATTTGCCGTATCAAATCTGGGCCTGGGTCGACTACGTACGCGTGCATGCATGCATGCATTAATGCGTGAAAATTGAGCAATAGAGAAGCTACGCGCGAATTGCAATTGTAATGAACTACACATGCTGGGAACTTCTGCAAATCGAATTGATGGGGTGAAATTAATCATGCAAACTCATTCAGATTCTATTAAATTTCTTTATTATTTGAAATTTTCTGATGATCCAGTGATATATAATTAAGTTATTCCCAATATATATATACTTTACAGCAAGCATTCATTCCCAAATTTCCCAGCCAAAATATACTTCAGATTTAACCTAATTCAGAACTAATCGTTCGCAAAAGAAAAAAGTTTGCAGAAAAATAAATTGAAGGTAAAAAAAACATAGCAACATTAGTAACCGTGCCAATATATACACCCCCATGAAAATTAATTAACAAACCATATTTACGTTTATGTGTATTATGAAACCCAATGATTAATTAATTATTAAGAACGGATTAATTGCTGAGGTCTTGCCTTTGGATCATACGCTAGCTGTAGGCAGTTATCTCCTTGGACGCAGGGGGAGAAGCCACAGAGTCCTGCGATGTTCGAGGCGGCGAATGCGGTAATCGGGAGGAGAATCCCAAGAGCGGGTCATCCTCGAGGTTGGACTCCTCGTGATCAAAGTTGAGGGCGTAGCTGAGTGCGTCATATTTGAAATCGGCTGAATGATGCCTCCGGCCCGCGCGGCCATGGCCATTGCCACGTCCATGCATGCGCCCAATCCAATTTCTGCACTTGTCTTTCAATTCTGCAAACTCGTAATGATTGTTGTGGTGGTGGTGGTTGTAATGGTGTTGGGGGTGGTGATGATGCCTAGACCGCGAGGACCGGGGATTAGGGGAGAATGAGGAGGTTTGCACGAGGCTGACATTATCAGCCTCATGCGGAGTGGGAGGCGCCGTGAGGGCGCCGTGGTGGTGAGCTTTAGGAGTAGGGAAGCATGGGATGATGCAGAGGGAGGAGCGGAGCTTTTGTTTGAGGGAGTTTGGGGAGCAGGGTTCGTGGTGGTTCTCCATTATTTTGATTTGTGTGGAGAGGTTAGGGGTGGTGGTGGTGGTATTTGTGTTTTTATTTGGGAGGAGGAGGAGGCCCCGTGGAGAAGGTGCAATGACGGATGAGGACACGTAGATTTCCGGAATTCATGGGATGCTTTTGGGGTTTCTGGTCATTTGACGTTGTTCAGAGATTATCGCTTTTTAGGGTCTTTTTTATTTTATATTTTTTTCCTTTCGATAAATCTGAAAACCATGTTGGGCCAGAATTTGAAGGTTAATATTGTCGTCCATTTGCATGACTTATGGGCTGGGCTCGAATACAAAATTGGAATGTGAGCTTGAACATAGCATAGATTTTATGGTGTGATTAGTTTTTCTTGTTGCCCAATTAAGAAAACTACGTGCTTATGAGATGAGATTTGGTGCCGATGTGGTTAAGCGAGTTGATTTTTTTTTTTTTGGTCAAACGATAAGTTTTGTTAGATTAGTCATTGATGGGGTTCGAACACACGCTATCATGTAAGGGCTCAACACATTTTCATCATTGTGGTAAAGAGCCACTTGTGTTAAGCGAGTTGATTAGGACTGTGTTTTTTTTTGTACATGAGTTCGAATTTTCATTATTATAAGTTAAGATTAGTTTAGAATATCACATTGTTGGACAAAAACAAAGGAAGATTTGAGTAATCCATTTGAATTTTTGTTTATTAATTTTCTTTAATTTATTCGATCTAAGAGCTGAAGATTAAGAAAAGTATATGAAAGATAAAAATAAGTGTCTTTTAATATTAGTTTGTATGATCCTTAGAACCCATGGTGTGTTCTTCCTCACATGATAAGATCTTTGTCCATATCCTTTGTGTAGTAAAATATTGTAGAAGTGGGGTTGGGGTTGATACGTTTGTATTGTTTATTGAGAGAAAATATACTCACTCCTGACATTTGTGATTCTCTACACCTTGTCTTGTTTTTAACTTTGAAAAAGATTCACTTCTATTCAATTTTGATATTATTTATTGATAAATTTGATCATTTATGATATAATTTCTTTAAATAGTCGATTTTATATGTGGGGTAAGACGCCATTTGTGTGTACAATCAAATTGACTTTCAGGTTATAAGGACAAAGACGTCTCATTATCACAATGAATGAGACCACGTGGATTGGAGATTGGACTTACGTGCGACCCGATAATACCCTCATATAATGCAGCCCGTTCATTTGTGAGAGTGTCTGACCATCTAGCTGGTCAGACTGCTCTACTCACAATTCTGAAATAAAATTTAATAGTTAAAACACCTGTTTCATTGAAGCCAAACTTTTCCCCCTCTTAATTCTACTTGATTCATTGAAATAGTGCAAAAAAGAATGTGCAAATTCACTACCCTTTTTACCTAAACACAAAAACAGAAGAAATGAAGTACTCAACAAAACCATTCACTGCAGCCGAGAAAAGACATTTTATTTACTAGAAAGCCCAATGAAACATTACAAGAAGAGATTTGGTTGATCACGTGGCTCACCCTTGTCCCTTAATAAGTGCCAGGTTTTCAGTTCATAGCAACACGCAGCACCACTGTCTCATTCGACACACACCTCGTGGACTTGTTGGAAGCTTTCGGTTAAGTTGCACTGAAACTCCCTCAACCTTTCCATCCCATGTCTCTCACCTTTTCTTTGTTTTGTTTTGTCTCCTCATCTTTTACTTTTCTTTTGCTCATTTTCGTTGAAGAATATAGCCCCACATCGAAAACCTGACTGCAGTAAACACTATTTATTTTTGTTTTACCAGTAGTAGTAGTAGGCCGTTGAACCGTCTCTGAAACTTTAACGGTTTTCACTGGTACATAATTGAGAGGAGAGAGATGAAGATGATTGATGCAGATCGTATATACAACCATCAATGGTATGGACCCCTCTTTTGTCTGCCACCATATTTTGTTTCCATCTTATTGTTTAACTTCCCTCTTCTTCTTCTTCTTCATTTCTTTGGAAAATATTTCAGGACCAAGCAGCTTTTCATGGTGGAAAAACTGTATCATTTATAAGAGAAATATATACATATATATATATATATAGAGAGAGAGAGAGAGAGAGAGAGAGAGAGAGAGAGAGCTACACTTGTTTTCTTTGTCGGTTTTGAGTTGTTATTTGGAGGTTGAAATTAATGGCTGGAATGCTTCCTGGTGTGGAATGCGCTCGGAGGAGACGAGTCCATCAGAGCGGAGAGTCACCGTGCGTCGGCGGCATCCATGGCAGCACCAGGCGCTCTTCTTTCTGTTTGTATGCTAGCAACCATGAATCTCACCACACCTCCACCTCTTCACTGGTAATTCTATCGCTCTCTGTGTTTTTCGCTCTCTCATTTTCTTGGAAGCATCCGATTTTTCTTACCCTCGAAAATGAATGAATCAAACAAGAATCAATCGAGGAAAAGAAGAAGAGAGCGCAGAAGGAGAAACGAGAAACTGGAGTGTGAAAATCGCTGTCCTACCGATTTAAATTACAAGCAAATATAATTTTCTCCTGTTGTATATGGATTATTTTTCATGATCATTGTTTCAATTTGCATGTTTGAATCATTAATAACAGTATTAATTTATTGGACACAATAGCAAAGAAGCATACTGAACCAAGCATACATGGATGAGAAGCTGGGAGTGGAAGCCAGAGAAGCCAAGGGGAGATTAGATGAAAGACTGAGAACACAAAGAAAACCACAACCCAAAAGGTAATTAATTTACCAATATGTGGTCCGGCTATGAAACAAATTGTTGCTGACACATCAATAATGCCTCGATATCCATGTTATTGATGCGTTCTTGACAATATCAATGAAACAGTTGTTCCTTCATGCACATAAAATTTCTTAACAATAATGGTTCTTGCACTAACATACGCGACGGGAATAAATTTCCTCTCATTCTTTTCTCCTTCTGCAATACCTGTTTATTTTTGTCTCTCGATTTTCGATATGTTTTAACTATGTGTTTTATTATATTTGTGATAAATTTAGGCATACTAATGGTGGTAACAAGGGACTGAAATGTGTGGATGGAGGAGGAAGATCATCTGTCTTGCTTGGGGAGTTGCAGAAAGAAGTTTACGGAGCAAACAAGAGTAGTAGTAGTACAAGTGGGTCAAAGAAGTTCAGCTGGTCAAAGCTGACCTGGAAGTCATCGGACCAGGATGAGTGTGCAGTCTGCCTGGAGAGGCTCAGGCCAGGTGAGACCCTGGTGCACCTGCCCTGTGCCCATAGGTTCCACTCTGGTTGCATGGTTCCATGGCTTCACAACAATGCCCATTGCCCCTGTTGCAGAATGGAGATTATCTCCTAGTAATTGTATTGGTAATTTGGTAAATGCAAATTGTAAAATATAGATTGAGCTTGCAGTTGCAGTTGTAGAGTTGGTTTGAAGTTTGAACAATTAACTTTGTGGTGCTAATTGTTTGGTTACAATATGTTTTTGTTAAAGTGAATAGTTGCCAAGTAGTCTTTGTGTGAGTAGATAGTTTATGCAAATTTGTGGGAGATTATAATTCCACACATTAATCTTGATGTAGGACAAGATATGGGTCAATTCCGACGAAAAAATATCAAGAAAATAAAATGTTTTAGAGTTTGGAAAGAAGAATTAAAGTTGGGCTATATCAGATTTAATTAACATCGCGACAGAAAAAGTAACAAGAAATATTATCGTGCTAGAATTGAGAGTAATATGTCCTTTTTGAAGAGAATGCAAGAAGAACAAGACTCATGGTTATAATATGAGCCCGTCATGTTTACGGCCATTCGAGGTTGTTTAAACTCCCAAAACAACATTTTTAAAGTCTAATAAAACAACCTTTCATGTCGTTTAATTTACTAAGACCCTGAGCTTCCCGAGGGGTTGTGTTTGTGTCTTTTTAAGTCGTTTGGCTCCTAATGTAATGTATCAATTCAAAAAATAATCAAACAACCTTTCGATTTTATCCATCTATGATGGATTCCAAAAACCTTGGTTCTTCAAGATTTACGTTTGTAATCCTTATATGCTCGTGTTGCGTCAAATCTCTTCCACATCTTTCGGGAAAATGCTTGACTAGTTATATGTAGCGTTTCTCATAACAAACAAATCTCAATCTGACTTTTATAAACGAACTTTTTCAGTTTTTATTTTTGCAAGTCACTTTAGTATATGTGATAGTCTACATAAGGAATAACTCTTTAATTATTGTAAAGAGTTAAACATTATTCCAAAATTCTCAATGATTTCCAAATTATTGAACCAACATGTGATCTCCAATACAAAATTTTAAGAGGTGCAATCCCTTTTGTGAATGAATGTAATTGCACTACATATCACTATCCATCCATCCAACCTCCCCACCTTGAAATTGAATATCAGATGAGAGAAAAGGCTCCACTCATGTGACGGGTGGGACAAGAACAGGTGAATTATAGGACAGTCTTTGCTGTCTTGGTCGACCTTTCTCTTGTTTAGTGGAAATCATTTGTTCTTGCACTAATCAAATGTTAATACCAATCTTCGCTTCCAATTAAGGGAGATCATGGTGAGATCATAACAACTTAAGTCGCGAAAAAGATGGGCAGTAGTGGATCCATGAGTTTTTCGTTAATAAGTGAGGTCATAAAAGTTTGGTGCGGTGTTCTTACTTAAGTATTTTTTTGGTGGGTTTTTTTGGTGCGGTGTCGCTTGAGCCTTCAGAGACTGAGGAACGAGGATGGAAATTGAGTGACGTGAGTGAATTTGGGTGAAATAGAGGATAAGGGAAGCGTACTGAATGGGACACAAACGCAAACCTAAGAATAGAAAAGCTAGAATTCACTAGAGATTGGGATAAACCCGAAAGATTTTTTGTTCATTTATGAATCAATACATTACACTGGGAGCCAAATGGCTTAAATAGACTTAATTTGACTTTGGGAAGTTCGTATCAAACCTTGTGAAGTTCATAGAAAGTCTAATGAAATACAAAAATATTGATTAGATTGAAAAATGAAAAGTCTGATTTTATTACCAACTTTAAAATGCTGTTTTGGAAGCTGAAACGACATCAGATGGTTAAAATCTGTTAAGGAATTTTCAAACCTTGTGAAGTTCATATCTTGTCCTACATCAAGGTTTTGGATAAAAATAAGATTTGCAGCCTTGCTTCATCCTGTTTTGTTTAGCTGTTGAGTTGGCAAAATCCGAGTCATTTTCATTAAACAAGTTTGCCATAAAAATGGAGTAACAAGTTAAGACTAAACCAGATAAAAGATTCGGTTCTCTCAAACAAGACCGAAAAAATATCAATAAAATATATTCTATGCTTTGAAGGTGGAATGTCATTTTCTCCTATAAAAATGAAGCATGCTAACTTGGATTTTATCCTAATTTGGGTAAAATCTTCTTCTTTTCCTACCCTAATCCTTGTTTTTGTGTCACGACTGGCTAGCTGGAGGTCACTAAAGAATGGACCCAATTTAGCTAATTTATCTTTGTCTTGATTATATAGATGGATAAATGATTAGGCAAGGATTGATAAACTTTGATTAATTATTCGTTGATTGATTGGAGTGACGCAAGAGTCCAAAACTTTTCAAAGTTTTCAATGTGATGTGTGACTAAGACATAACTCGGAAAGGATGAGCGGCACGAATAAGGTTTCTTTATGTCCAATCAAGACAATGTCGCGATCGAAATTGAGCCGAAATTACAAGCAGTATAAATTTTGAAAATTATACAAGTTTTACAGTGTAGGGTTACTATGTGAAGAAAAAAAAACCACGCTTTTATAAAACTTTATTTTTCAGCCCACTCCAGTTTACTGTTTTGTATTCCTTCAAGTTTTAGTACATATTTCCTGGTGCGACAAGAGTTTGTGGCGGTTTTGACGATCTTGACACAATGTGGGAATTCATATTTTTTTATTTTATATATATCCATCTTGTGTGGGATGAGAATTTAGTCTTACTTCTTGACCATTTATCTATGCTCTGACACTCTCGTATGTATAAATAGGTTCATAAAAGAAAATCAATAAAAAATAAAAATAAAAATAAAAACTTTTGCCAAGGGGAAGGCAGCGAACGACGCCGTTCGGTGGACCAATTATTTTCATTATTTTGGCACCTTTGCGAATTTTACCATTTTAGACTCTTCCCGCAACGGCTAGTTTCCTAGTGACCGTTTTCCCGTCTCCCAAATTTCAAATCTGCAATCGACCTTCAACCCACCATTAATCTTCTTCACATACCGCAACTCCCAGAAATCTCCTTTCACTTTTCGAAAAACACCCGCAAAACCAAATCCAAATCCAAGGCTCTGGCAACTTGTCGAATTCGATCTCCGTTAAACCCACTTGGCAATTCAAATCAAGGACCCAGAATTTCAAAAATGGTATATTCATACGCGCCCGCGTACTACTCCACAATCCACGACTCCATGACCTCCCTGTGCAAGTCCATTCTTCCCTTCAGCTTCAAGAAGCGGCGGTTGCCTGCGGCGGAGCAGAGGCTTTCGAAGCTGCAGTCGGATAACCTCAAGTGGCAGCAGGACTCTTTCCACCAGATTCTGAACTTGATGGGTCTTCACAAAGAAGGCATCTTGGCTGAGACCGAGGTGTCCGCTTTCCGATTGCATTTGCTCGAAACCCTCATTGCCTCTCAGGTGGCGGAGCACGAACAGCCGGTTATTCTGAGAGACAAGTTGCTGTTCTTGCAGGTAAAATGCCAGTCTGCAATCTCAACTCTTTCCTTTTTTTTTTCATTTCGATTGGATTTTCTTTCTTGGTTTTCTGAGTAACCAAGCAATGTTTAGGAGCTCTTGTATGCGAAATGCATATCGGAAGACGAGTACCATTCTTCGAAAAGGCCGTTGCTGCAGCGATTAGAGGCACAGGGAGCTGAGATCGAGGCCAAAGATATAATCGCTTCAGGGTCGCTGCCAGCGAAGGATCCGAAAGAGAATACAGATCAAGAGCAGTGGTCGGAAATTGACTTGAAGGATGAGAAATGCTTGCTAACGAAAGATAAAGAGGGTTTGAATTCGAAGAACAAATCGAAACACAGCTCGGCAGTGAAACAAATCAAAGGGGCAGCTTCGGTGTTGGGATTTGTATCACCTTACAAACATGGGAAAAACAGGGGAGAAAAGAGCATATTCGATTTGCCTGATTCGTCAAAATTCTCTTCTTCCAGCTCTTCTAAGCATCAAGCAGGAGATCAATCGTCGATTCTTATGCCGGAAAGCTTGCCACAGGTGCCGGTGAAAGAGAACGGCAGCGCAGATCGAACAAGGAGGAAACCGTTTAGGAGTCTGTTTCAGAGAGAACAGAAAGAGGGTCAGGGGGATCATGCCCACGAAAATGAACAAACACCTTCGAAATCGGCCAAAAAGCAATGGGGTTTTGATGGATTCAAGAAATGGAAGAGGAATGAGTCGGAGGACGAGACAACTCCGCTGCCGCTAAACGAACGATCGGATAGTGAGGCTCACTTGAAGCTTGTTCCAATCCCCATGGGTGAAGGGCCAGACACTAAGCTCATAAAAAGGAGGCTGCTTTCGGATGGTTCTCCTTCCGATTTCTTCATTGACAAGGTTCAAAACCGTATGATTTAATTTCGTAATTTGCTGGCTTATATTTGAAGCATGATCCGAAATTGAAGGTTGTTTTTTTTCTTATTTTTGTATGATCTGAAGGTTTTAGGGGAGAAGATAAAGAAGGAGCTGTCAAGAATTCAGTCAGAGCTTTGCGCTTCAAATCCAAATCTTCGATTTACGTAAGCCTTTTGATGAGTCTTTCTTACATATACATTGGTATCGAAAAGCAATCTTTTTGTATCGAAAACATACGAGTTTGATTCTTGTGATTTGCTCAGGAATGAACAAATTGAAGCTATTTCGACCAGGCTTCCGGTGGACAAGGCTGATCTGAAGAAGTTCTTTCCCAAGTGAGCAAATCTTCTCTAACTAAAACCACCGCCCCCTTGTACTTTCTCTCTTATTTTTCATTGGATTTTTGTTTCGTTTTCAGGTCGTGGTGCGATCGGTATGGAGAAGTTGTTCTGGACGTGGTGAGGAAAGAGTTCAAGGAGCATGTTGGGGAGATGGAGAGCTTGAGAAATGCGGCAAGAGAGAAACACGGTATCCACTCAGCGCGATGGACTGCATTCCAAGATGACGAGGAGAATTGTCACCCGAATCTCTTTGCTCCGCCGCGAGACAACAACCACAATTATACTTCAAAGTTCCATGAAACCAATCCGTTCTGTGATGATCACATTCACACCACCCCTAGGAAGCTGAGATCGAAACCGGCAACTTATACACAAGAGCAGAACCAGAACCAGAATCCCTTTTGGATCCCGGGCACGGCTACTAATGCGTTTTCGTTGAGTAGCTGCTTAATATGTATTTTGATTGAGAGATCGCTTGATATGTTGTATGAACTTTGAGAGAAGAACGCTGTTCTTCCAAGCATTCAAACTTTATGTTTGATTTGTAA